TGTTAAAACAAGAAACTAATCAAATAAACATATTTGAGTCTGGATTGTTAAATATATCAAAGGACTGTGGGTAGAACATTAAACTAATAGAAACACCATGAAACTTCCCCACCTCATTGCTGACGTTAACACAATTATTTTTTTGAATCACACTTTTTTTCAGAAAATGTCACTAATATGACTTTTTCCTGAAAATGCAATTGTTTTGAAATTTTTCTGGAAATCTCAAAATGTCAGACTTTTTTCTCAAAAGGTTGACTTTTCAGAAAAACTCAAATGTTTTATTTTTTGAGTGAATTCTGACTTTTCTGAAATTCTCAAGATTCTGACTTTTTTCACCAAATTTGAAAAAAATTTCAGAAAAACCCAAATTTGAACGTTTTTCTTAAAATCGCAAAATGTTGACTTTTTTCTGAAATCTCAAGATTGAAAGATCTATTTACTCATGTGTCTTCTAAAAAAATATATATTTCGGTTTATTTGTATTTTTTTTTTAACTGAATCAAAGAAAGTAAATCAATGATGTAATCCTGACTTTAGAAAAGCTGTAATTGTATGTTTTTTTACTGAAACATTAATCCTCAAATCCCAGTATATCCAATTTCTACTTTATTTTTTTGTTATGGATTTATTTATTTACATGTATATCTATTTGATTCTTCTTTCACAGCTGAGGAACAGACGACAGACCTTTGTGTTTTAAATAAAGTTTTATTGAAGATCAGCTCAATAATAACAGCAAACTGAAAACTAAATCCTGTTAACTCATAATAAAAAAAAAATTGCTGCAGGTACAGTGACTGGTCCGCTCAAACACACACACTTTGTCTCTTTCTCTCTCACACACACAAACACACTCTCTCACACACACACACACTGTGACTGCTGTAATAAATTATATGTACAGTCCAGGTCCGTCTGCGGCTCCGTCGACAAAGAGAAATTCTACAGGAAAAAAACACAAAATCAAAAGTTAATAACTTCGGGGAAAAACAGGTAGAGAAAAACTAAATAGAACAGGGGGGTCAAACTCAAGGCCCGGGGGCCAAATCCGGCCCGCGACTTCATTTAATGTGGCCCGCAAGAGCTTGCAAAGAATATAATACGTTTATTATACGGTTACATGCCGCTTTACAGAAGCAGGTTGCCCATAAACTACATGTCCCACAATGCATCTCGTTTTGTGACATGCGCACTGAAGAGACTTGCAATTATTTGCCCTGGACTTCTGCTTTCAAACGTAGTTAGTTATTACCCTATCCGATAATAATCCAATTCAGATGCAATAATGTAATATAATACATTATTTTATATATATATATATTATATATTTATATAGTTACAACCGGCCCTTTGAGTGCAACCATAATGCTAATGTGGCCCGTGATGAAATTGAGTTTGACACCCCTGAAATAGAACATTATATTATCGAATATACATACGTTCATATTTAGGCAATATAAAAACACATTTTAGAAACTCTAGCTCTCTACTTGAAGACGATTTTTCTTAATGAGGTTTTAAACGGTTAAATAAACTATTAAAATTACAATGAAAACAGACGGGCAAAGACGAGTCTCTGATTACAAATACATTAAATAATGGTGGCAAAGCTGTAATATTAAAATAGCTTTTAAAAGACAGTAAAAACATAAAAGTAGGAACAATTATAATAACATGTTTTTTTAAAAGGAATGAATATTCAATAATAAATAAAAACCTGATTCTGATTACACACCATGTGATCATGTGATGTGTTGCTTTAAAGAGAGCATGTAAATATCCAGGTGTTTAGACCACGGACGATATGAAGCGTTTCCTCACCATTTGTCGCTCTTGTTCTGCGTCGACTCGCTCTTTCCGTCACAGGCGACGATCTTCACTTTGTCGACTTTCACCAAATCCGTCACCTCCCGAAACTCCACGTCGTTCAGAACAAACGTCCACACGTTGTCGCAGAACCGGTACGTGTTCAGAGAACCCTGAGAGGGAGGAACACAACACACAGAACCTCAGAGAAACACACAGAAACACCGGAGAACATCACAGAACCACACAGAACCGGTACGTGTTCAGAGAACCCTGAGAGGGAGGAACACAACACACAGAACCTCAGAGAAACACACAGAAACACCGGAGAACATCACACAACCACACAGAACCGGTGAGTGTTCAGAAAACCCTGAGAGAGGAACACAACCACACAGAACCTCATAGAACATTATAAGTCCTTAGAGAACCACACAGAACATCAGACACACAGAGAATATCACAGAAACTCAGAGAAGCACAAAGAACCTCATAAAACCTCAGAAACACAGAGAACCGGTGAATGTTCAGAGAACCCTTAGAGAGGAACATATAATTGTTAATCTCATCTAAATGAGTGGTGTATAGAGACTTCATGCTCGAGGTCAGAGGTCACAGGAAGTGGACTCACCCTGAAGTTCACTCTGTTTCGGACGCGGTTGGCGAGCGCCGTGTTGATCGCTTTATCAAACTGAAGGAGAACCTGGAGAGCGAGCTGAGGGGTGATCTGTTGAGTCTACACACACAGAGAGAGAGACACAGAGAGAGAGAGAGACACAGAGAGAGAGAGAGACACACACACAGAGAGAGAGAGACACACACACACAGAGACAGAGACACACACACAGACAGACAGAGAGACACACACACAGAGAGAGAGAGACACACACACACAGAGACAGAGACAGACACACAGACAGACAGAGAGACACACACACAGACAGAGAGAGAGACACACACACAGACAGAGAGAGAGACACACACACAGAGACAGAGAGAGAGACACACACACAGACAGAGAGACACACACACAAACAGAGAGACACACACACAGAGAGAGAGAGAGAGAGAGAGAGAGAGAGAGAGAGAGAGAGAGGAGAGAGAGAGAGAGAGAGAGAGAGAGAGAGAGAGAGAGAGAGAGAGGGAGAGAGAGAGAGAGAGAGAGAGAGAGAGAGGAGAGAGAGAGAGAGAGAGAGCGACACACACACACACACACACACACACAGAGAGAGAGAGAGAGACACACACACACACACACCACACACACACACACAGAGACACACAGAGAGAGAGAGAGACACACACATACTTTGATAAGATATCAAAATTTCTTACATTTTTCTAAAAGATTTGACTTTTTCTGGAAAAAAATCACAACTTTCTGACTTCTTTCAGAAAATGTCATAATTCTGACTTTTTTTTTTAAATAACTAAAATAATTTAGCCTTTTTTCAAAAAATCTCAAAATGCAGACTTTTCTGGAAACCTCACCATTCTGACTTTTTTGCTGAGAAACTTATTATTTTGACTTTTTTTTCCTCACATTTCTGACCCTTTTTCTGGAAACCTCCTAACTCTGACTCGCTTTGATAACATTATGAAAGGACTAAAACTCAGAGGATTGGTCGCTCAGTATGAGTTACATTAAAAAGGTAAATGCTGCCAAACACACTTTGTTTAAGGCAACTTGTCTTCTTATTTCTGCAGGTAATAGTTTAACATTGCCTGTAATAGATAAAATATATTATAATTGTATATATATATATATATATATATATATATATATATATATATATATATATATATATATATATATATATATATATATATATATATATATATATATATATATATATATATATATATATATACACACACACACTCGACAACACACTGTGAGCATAACCTAGCATACTTTCACTCGACAAAGAGACATTTGTGTATGAACTATTTTGCTAAAATAATCACATAATTAATTACAAATTCTGCGTTTTTGTGTGTTTTCAAATTGAAGACTTGAATAGTATATAATCCTCTGTTAACACCGACATGTGTTGCTCTTTGTAAGATCACCAAATGCTGGAAAGCATCCCAAAATGTTTGCTAAACTACAAAAACAGAGAAGATATTCTAGTGTTTTAATATCTGATTCACAAAAGGAGCATTTATTTAAACCTAAACTGAATCTGTGGTTCAACAATGGGTTCCTTTAACTCTTAATGGAACTGGAAAGGAGAGGTTATTATCTTTATTATAATACTTTTTAATGATAAGTTTATTTTCAGCTGCGAAGGAAAGCTTTTTGTGATTGATCGTCATGCTAACTGCTGAGGCTAGCTGCTGCGAGCTAACAGTCGTGCTAATAAACGTTGTTCTTCTCACCTGAATGAGCTCGTCCAGACTCTCCTGGAGACTGTTTCCCAGAGTGGTGTTTCTGTACAGCTGGTACGCCATGATGGAGATGATATATGACAAGAAAAAACTTCAGTAAACTCTCTCTCAAACACACAGAGCTAACGGAGCTAACGATGCTAACAGCTTCCCTCCACAACAAGCGAGCGGGGAGACGACTTCCGGTTATTTTCTAAATATAAGCGCATCGAGGTTTGGATGCTTCTTCTAATGAATATCAAGGGGAGCAGTAGGCCTACATATATAGTTGTACTTTTGAGTTAAATAAGATTAGATAACAATAACATTATATTACATGTACTGCTCCCAAAGTGGGAAACAGTTTGGTTACAGCAGCATTACAAAAACAAAGAAATACAAATAAACCTAAACAGTGACAATTAAAAATGTAATGGTACAAATTAAAAAGGATCCTGTACTTTACTGCACGACATTTATCTCACACTCATCACAATGTCTGTGTGATGCTATGGTTATTATATATTGTAGTCAAAAGAACACAGAATTCCCTTATAATCTGGTATTTTTACACTTAAAGGGGCCATTTTTCAGAATGTTGATATCTTAATCTTATCAAAGTGCGTGTGCGTGTGTGCGTGTGTGTGTGTGTACACTTTATTTTGGTATAACAATGTAGTGGTATTTTTATTCTTGCTTGTAGGATGCCTATCACCATCTGGCAAAGGGACTATCGGTGAAAACTAGCCTTTTGGCTAATTCGAGTACATTTACATGTTTTTAATATGTTGATTACTGTCCATTGTTTTAAATAAATCAATTCAATTCAACATATAGAAAAATAATCCTGCATAAATCTGCAGGAACCATCATTTATTTATTCAGTTTTTAATAATAATGTTTCGTGTTTGTAGCTGTTGTACTAATTTCAGCCACAAGAGGCTGGCATTGACCTTTACCCTACTTTTAATAAAATGAAGTAAAAACCAGTGTGTGTGTCTGTCTCTCTGTGTGTGTGTGTGTGTGTGTGTGTGTGTGTGTATATAGACCCAACAGATCACACCTCAGCTCGCTTTCCAGGTTCTCCTCCAGTTTTACACTTTAAGGGGCCATTTTGTACCATTTCCAGGTCTATTTTCAGTTTGTATTTCCCTGAAGCTAAAAGCATCCAATATTAAAGACCAAATGAGTCAGAATCAGCTTTTTTCCTTTATTATAACAACATCAGGATTCAACATCATGTATAAAAGAGTGCATCTTTAAAAACGTTAAGATAACAATGATCAACATTTCATAAACAGGACATATAGAGAATATAAATAGAGCAGAAGAAGAGTCTCAGTTTAACATCTGGAAGAGTCATTATTGGACATATGGGTCTGGGAGATATGGTAAAATATATATCATTCAGTGTAAAACAGTGTGTTTATGTATCTGTAATTAAACATATACTTCAATACATCTGAAAAATGCTGATATTTACAGTGAAACATTTATAAATTTCCCTCGTTTTGACATCTTAAAATGATGGTATAATAACAGAAACACTGCAGAAGTCAGTGACAAAGAGCAAGACCCACGGAGAACAACCAAGTGTCGACCAAAGTGAACTGGTGTTGACGTTGCACTTGAACGCACCACAAGTCTATAGTGTTTAGTGCCTCAAAGCAGCATAAAAACATTGAATAAACAGTTTATAAAACACTATAATGTAGATGTTAGTAGAGCTGGGTAATGTACAGAAAATACTGATGACGTTTTTTCATATTCAATTCATCGTTAAAAGTATTTTTCATGCAAAAAAGGTCAGAAAATGCTGTTTTTTAGCACACAAAATTGACTTAAAAGTGATTCTCTTTGGACATTTCAACATTTGTTAGTCATCTGCACTCATAGTAACACTGCGTTTTAATTTAAAACATAATACTTTGATTATGAGGGACCAGGACGGACCTTTTTCAATATTTTCTGACATTTCTAACGCACTTTTCGCACACGTTTAGTGACATTTTTCCACCATGAGTCGACTCAACGATTATTCTATGAACAGAAACCATTTGGACTTTTAAACACCTCGTGTTTTAGGATCTGGGATGCACATGTTTCCATATTTACAAAAAGTTGCAAAATAACTTGCATATTAATCGATAAATAAAAATATGTCATTAGTGGCAGCTAATTAGTCCACCTGGTTAGTCCACCAGCAGATGTCAAACACCCACCTCTCCGCCTCTTCCAAGGAACGAGGGGACCGTGCGGCAGAGTTTCAGTTTCAGTTTGTTTCGCCGGTCAAGATGTCCGTTAAAGTTTAAATCTTCCGGACAAAATTAGAAAAGTGCCGGTCAAAGGTCTTCTTTGTTATTTATTGAGCTTTAAAACAAATGAATAACGACTCTATATAATAAAACACGGAGGACGGAGATCTCTTTTTCTCCCCCTCTTGACTTGATCAGAGCGCTCTCCCCTCTCCTGCAGGGGGGCGTGGTCTCACAGAATCAGCACCGTAGACAGCACATAGAGCGAAATGAGGCATGGCTAAAATGCATGATCTGTTTGGTATTTTGAAAACAGAAACGTATAAATATACCTTATATAGGTATGGCCCTACAATATATCATTTAAATATAGCATGATAGGTCCACTTTAAGTAAAGATATTTAATCCTGAAAAAACGGAAACGTTGACGTTAATTAAATGTATTATGTCGACAGCAACTTAATATTATCGCTTTAAGCGAACCTAATACAGTATCTGTTGACTTCATGTGTTTAATTAAAGGTCACCTATTATGCAACATCCTCTTCTTCATGTCTCTTCTACATCAACATGTGTCCCCTCTGTGTAAAGAGACTCTGAAAGTTTCAGGAACAAAGATTCTCTCTCTTTTTGTCCTGATCCATTTCTATAAAAACCTGTCTGAAAATGAGCTGAGCAGATTTTGGTGACTTTGTGATGTCATAACGATTTTTTGGGTTGCGTAACCATTAGCCAATCAGTAACCAAGGTAACCCCCCCTCCCCCACCTTATCACCTGTTCTATATATATCTGAGACCTGTAATATATTGATGACAAAGAGTATAATTCGGGACCTTTAAAGTCAACGTTTCTGTTTTTTAATGTTTTTGTGAATAATCTCGATAAACAGCCGTATTTATATATTTATAACCCACCCCGTTCGGCTGCTTCAAATCTCATAATTCAAGAGTTCCAAGGGTTCAAAGGTCACATCATGGCTGCCCCCAAACGTGTGCATCATAAAAACAGGACGTCTAAAAAATACATTCAAAGATTAAAAAAAAAAAAAACTTGTATAGAAAGAGTATAAAAATGAGAACGGAAAATATTTATAGATTCAGATACCACGAGACGTCCCTCTGGTTCAGTCTGTCTTCTCTCAGTATTTCCTCCTCCTCTTCCTCATCTTCCTCTTCCTCTTCAGTCGAGGAACCGTTGGCAGGCTTTCTTCCAGCGACAGGCCGTGCACCACTGGTCTCTGTGTTCGATGCCGTAAACTTTACGACATTTCTTCGCCTCGCCACGAATCCTCCTGACCGAGAAACACAGAAAGATATACACCTGAACATCAGCAGGAGAGGACTCTTTAAAGTAGAGACACTACATACTGATATACACCTGAACATCAGCAGGAGAGGACTCTTTAAAGTAGAGACACTACATACTGATATACACCTGAACATCAGCAGGAGAGGACTCTTTAAAGTAGAGACACTACATACTGATATACACCTGAACATCAGCAGGAGAGGACTCTTTAAAGTAGAGACACTACATACTGATATACACCTGAACATCAGCAGGAGAGGACTCTTTAAAGTAGAGACACTACATACTGATATACACCCTGAACATCAGCAGGAGAGGACTCTTTAAAGTAGAGACACTACACACTGATATACACCTGAACATCAGCAGGAGAGGACTCTTTAAAGTAGAGACACTACATACTGATATACACCTGAACATCAGCAGGAGAGGACTCTTTAAAGTAGAGACACTACATACTGATATACACCTGAACATCAGCAGGAGAGGACTCTTTAAAGTAGAGACACTACATACTGATATACACCTGAACATCAGCAGGAGAGGACTCTTTAAAGTAGAGACACTACATACTGATATACACCTGAACATCAGCAGGAGAGGACTCTTTAAAGTAGAGACACTACATACTGATATACACCTGAACATCAGCAGGAGAGGACTCTTTAAAGTAGAGACACTACATACTGATATACACCTGAACATCAGCAGGAGAGGACTCTTTAAAGTGGAGACACTACATACTGATATACACCTGAACATCAGCAGGAGAGGACTCTTTAAAGCAGAGACACTACATACTGATATACACCTGAACATCAGCAGGAGAGGACTCTTTAAAGTAGAGACACTACATATGATATACACCTGAACATCAGCAGGAGAGGACTCTTTAAAGTAGAGACATTACATACTGATATACACCTGAACATCAGCAGGAGAGGACTCTTTAAAGCAGAGACACTACATACTGATATACACCTGAACATCAGCAGGAGAGGACTCTTTAAAGTAGAGACACTACATACTGATATACACCTGAACATCAGCAGGAGAGGACTCTTTAAAGTAGAGACATTACATACTGATATACACCTGAACATCAGCAGGAGAGGACTCTTTAAAGTAGAGACACTGACCTGCAAGCGCCGTTCTGCAGGCATTGTTCTCCAACACTCACTGAACGCGCCCGAAACGCCAAACCCTGAAGAAGAAAAATGTCATAATTAAACATTTTGAGAAAATGTGCGTTTGCCTTTTATTAAAAAATATGTTATCCTATTGGTTTTATGTTTGTCTTTCATCATATCAGCCCCTCTCCCTGTTCATGTCCTCTGTGTCTCCTCTGGTGTAAAAACATCCTGCAGTTTCCTCTCTCAGCCTGCAGGGGGCGGCACTCAATTATGGGAAATGTGACCACAAGAGGGGATGTTCCTGACACACACACACTCCGCCCCTCTCCTGTGTAAAACCAGTTTTAACAGGCTTCACTGCCGCTGAAATAAACAAAAGGCTGCTGTGTGTGTGTGTGTGTGTGTGTGTGTGTGTGTGTGTGTGTGTGTGTGTGTGTGTGTGTGTGTGTGTATTTAAGTCTTAAATCTAACTTTATGCTCACAGGGGAAGTCCGAAACCATTGGCTGTTAGTTTGGATGAAGCCAGGTTCAAATTCCTTGTTTCATGTTGTTGAAATATAAGAGTCTAAGGTTTCTACAGAGGGAAATCTCTGTATCATATAACAAACATCAGAATATGTTCTCAACTGCACAACAACAATCTACTTTCTTTTAAATTAATTCTGTATGAATTTCTGTTGAGAGCAGAGGAGAGAAAAACTCATTTTGAGCATTTTGGAGGTAAAGACATTTGGGTAAAGTCGAATATTTTAGACATGAAAAGTCGTAATAACTGGAAAGAAGTTGAAATATTTAAACACTAGTTTAAATCTGCAAACAAGGCATTACATATCTCTACTCTCTGGGTTTGTTACTGCGACCTTTCCCATGCATGTTCCCATGTTATAATATAAATATAGATTTGAACTGTTTAAAGTCTCACCTGTTGGACGCAGCTGGTGGACGGAGCCTCTGGTGACGTCACATGACTGACAGATGGAGCCTAAAAACATGTACAACATATTTAGGTGATTCATAAAAGTGTCCAAATTATGTAAGAAAAATATAAATGTAGTGACGTTTATTGAGCTTGGAATATTATCAGGTTAGAAAATATCTTAAACATATTTTAATAATTTGTCGTCAATATTAAGTATAAAATAAGTAGACCACATTTAAAGCAGAGTGAAAACGATAAATAAAAAAAGAGAGATAATTAATATGGTGTTGATTGTACAATTAAAAACCTGCGATAAGCCCCGCCCCCTACCTGATCTGATTGGCAGCTGGTGGACGGAGCCTCTGATGACGTCACATGACTGACAGGTGGAGCCTAAAAACATGTACAACATATTTAGGTGATTCATAAAATCAGGTAAATATTATAAAAGCATTCAAATTATATTTACATTTAGTTCAGTTTATGTGTTTGTCTTATAAAACATATTTTAATAATTTGTCGTCAATATTAAAGTGGACCTATCATGCTATTTGTAGGCAATAGCATAGGTCTCAGATATATACAAAAATATAAAAAACATGTCTATTACATTACATGTTACTTGTTTAGACGCTTTTATCCAAAGCGACTTACATACTCAATCCTGTGGGCAATCCCCACAGGAGCAATTTGGGGTGAAGTGTCTCAGGGACACAACGACATGCTGACTGCAGTGGGGTTTGAACCTGTGCTCCCCTGATCCCAACACCAACTCTACCCACTGCGCCACAAGCCTCCCTATGAAGTGTTTTGCTCAAAATACCAAACAGATCACCCATTCTAGCCATGCCTCATATCCCTCTATTTCACTTCCTGTTTCAAAAGTGCTGATTTGGGGTATAAAGCTTTAAAAAGAAATGATACAAAATAAATAAGGAGGGGTCTGAGCTCATGCGGGACCAGGCAGCTACTGTCTAAACTAAATGCTGCCGTGATGAAACGCCATATCATGGATTATCAAGGATTTGAAACAGTATGGAGCTCAAAGGCTTTCTCTCTTGCCGGTTATACCACAAGGTGAGTTCCTTTTTATTTCCTGCTTCTTCACACACATGCTCTCCAGTACAGGTTAGCTCTGAGTGTTAGCGATGCTAATGTAAACACCGACCATATTACGTCCAAAACAGTCGCGCATTGTTTCTGATAGCAACGTTTCTGATAGGGCCGTGGGTCCACATTTCAGATATTACGTCATATCGGACACAAATCTGGATCAGCTCCGTTGTTCCCCGTTTTTAGAGATTTGGGTACGGAGGAAAAGAGAGAGGGTTTTATTTTCTGACGCTGCGTGAGTTCCCCGACACACCGGGGACACATGTTGATGTAGAAAAGACATAAAAAAAAGTGCATTTTGCATGATAGGTCCCCTTCAAGTATAAAATAAGTAGACCACATTTAAAGCAGACAAACCGATAAATACATAAATAAACTATCATTTATCTAAAGAGATCATTAATATGGTGTTGATTGTATAATAAAAAAAACTGCGATAAGCCCCGCCCCCTACCTGGTAGGAGTGATCTGATTGGACCTATTTATATAAATATAAATATAGATTTGAACTCTTTAAAGTCTCACCTGTTGGAGGCAGCTGGTGGACGGAGCCACTGATGACGTCACATGACTGACAGGTAGAGCCTAAAAACATGTAAAAAAATATAATAGAATCAGGTAAATATTATAAAAGTGTCCAAATGATATATGAAAAATATAGAACACAGAGTTTAAAACAAACTGAAAACTATAAATAAAAAAATAGCAAATAATCTAAAGATATTATTTTTATTTATTCATTCATTTAACAGGGACAGCGCACATTAATCAACATCTCTGTAAATGTGCCAGAGTTAGCCGAGAGGCCATTTTTCATCTGTAGTCCCTGATCTTGTACATTTTTAAACAAGTAAATACAATCAAATAAAAACATGCAACATACAGTACTGGAAATTAATATGCCATGTCACAAATATGGCATTAATTGTATAATTAAAAACCTGTTATAAGTCCCGCCCCCTACCTGATAGGAGTGATCTGATCGGACCTTCATGAATCCGCCGGAGGAGGAGGAGGAGGAGGAGGAGGAGGAGGGGGCGGAGCGACTGAGAGAAGTGGGGGGGGGAAGGGAAGGGGGGGGAAGGGAAGGGAGGGGGGGGGCTGCGGGTCTCCGGGGGGGGAGGAGGGGGGGGAGGGGTGAGGAGACTCCTGATTGGTCACCTCGCTGTAGTAGAAATCCTCTTCGCTGCGGGAGCAACGCTCGTGATCACTGCCGCGGCTGAGAGGGGTCAGAGTTCAGGGGTTAGGGTCAATTAAGTCTTTAAAAATATATATTTCATCATGGTGCAGGTTTTAGAAGAAGCTACAAAATCATAACACATTACATTAAAGGTAGGGTAGGTAAGTTTGAGAAACCGGCTCGAGTGCGCTAGAATTTGAAAATACACAACCGGAGAAAATCTGCCACTTCCTCACAGAGCCCCTCCTCCAACACACACGAACGCGCACATGACCAATGAGGGCACGAGATAAGTTTGTGCACAGATGGAAGGCTGACAGGCAGGTAGGCCATCCAGTTATTTTAGCCGGGCCGGCTCAGATGATTGGTCGTACTTTTTACAGTACTACAGCTTCCACAGATGATATTTTGTTATGGATTTTTTGTCAAAGCACTTCAGATATTCATTGCTATCGGGATGTTACGAGCATTCCATGGAATATAACAAAAAGTGTATCTCGAGCCGGTTTCTCAAACTTACCTACCCCACCTTTAAATATACATATTATATTGTGTGCAATATATATATATATGCCGTAATGTATATACCTGGCTGCTATTTTTTTTTATCTTTAATACCTTTTTTTTCTTAGGTCACATGAAGCTCTTTTCTGCTGTAACAATGTACATTTCCCCTCTGTGGGACGAATGAAGGTATTCTGATTCTGATGGTTACTGTAAATTATTATTTCCACATGTATATTTTTTACTTTTTTAATGCTATTTTATTTCAATTTGCTCGTGAACTTCACGGCAGATGAACTGATAAGCGCAAGCGCATAATAGTGCGCCGTTTTTGCGCATCAGATGAGGAGGTGAGGCCCCCTCATAAACTGCATGAACCCGTGTGGCACAATACCACTCAGTACATTTTATACCCTTTCTTTAGTAGAATTGTATAAATTGGCTAACTAGGTAACCAGCTCGTCGGTGATTTGCAGCCCATGCGTGGTGACTGGCTTACCTGTACGTCAATCAAATGCCATAGTAAGGATGGATGATAGGCTAACTTAAAAAAAGACTCACCTTATTATCTCTTAATTAAATAGTAGAGATAACATACAAAACCAAAAGTATTCAGATATTAATATAATTTCTTAACTTTTCCACCTGCTGTAATTTTGATAAAAGTGTATGGAAGCATTTTCATGCCAGAAAAACAACACATTTCTTATCCTACATTTCTTTTGTATTTTCCTGTAGTATAAAACCCAGGTGAGTCTTACCTCAGGTGAGTGGTCCTGATGTGGCGTTTGATTCCCACCACAGACGTCAGCACCTTCCCACAGCCGGGCCACAGACAGCAGTACCCCATCTTCACTGAGTTCTGCACACAGAAAAAACGTTTTACCGTCTGTGTTGTTTTAACCTGTTGTTACCTATATCTATATATCTAACAAGCTAGCTAGCTAACATTAGCACACTTTTCAGAAGTAACATCTGTGTTGTTTTAACCTGTTGCTTTTCCACCCATTTCCACTGCCTGAAAGAGAACATTGGCTATTTACCCAACAGTAAAGCTAACTATGTATCTAACGAGCTAGCTAGCTAACATTAGCACACTTTTCAGAAGGACTCCATAAAACAATGTTTTTTTCCTAACTCTCATTGACAGAGAGTCTAGACTAGTGTTAATTTCGTTGACTAAAACTATCACGAAATATGTTCGTCAACGACCTTTTTTCCCATGACTAAGACGAGACGGCACCGACGACAGTAAACAATAACTGTAACGAAATCAACATGTAATATCGTTGACGAAAAGTGACGAGATGAAAATGTAGTTTACTAAATAAAAACTATGCCAAAATCTCTCTTTACTTTCGTTGACGAAATATTATCAAAGATAACGTTACATCTCTGATAGTTAGTTATTCTCCCAGCAGTTCCATTTACATTGCTGCGGCTGGGCAGCATGTTAGGTAATGTGGAAAGGTAGGACCCAAATGCAGACTTCAAAAAGGAAAAAGGTCTATAAACAAAAGGCGAGCTTTATTCCAAAGCCGATGAGCACAAAAACAAGGCATGAAAAAACATAGATAGCACAAGGTAGCGAATACAAACAAAACTGACCGTGGCTGACATGGAGGGAGACAGGAACAACCAACAATGAACCAACAAGGCACACAGGGGAAGACTAAATACAGAGAGGGGTAATCACAAGACAAGACACAGCTGGGGTAAGGGAGGCAGAAACACAAGGGCAACAGGTGAACACAATCAGACAATCAGACACACCAGGGGAACTAATGACAGGAAGGCAAACACAGGAAGAAGGAACAGAGAAGACACAAGGAGGAAAACATTTCAAAATAAAGGTGGAAAATGAAAACATAAATACAAAACCGTAACACAGCAGCTGTGTGTCTGTGCTGCGCGCGGCGGTACATTTGAATTACACCGGGCAGCGGCACACTGTGAACTGTCAGGAAGACTCGGGTCTAACTCATGGTCTAACTAACCTTATTTAACAGAAAATAAAATGGCAACAACAGGGCTTGGGAGCAGTGGTCGCGTTAACCGAATATTCCCCCCCCCGTCAGCGCGAGTGAGTGATAAGTTGTGTCCAGACTCGACGGGTAATAATGGATTATGACGGAAATTTTACGATCCTGTCCGTCAAAATGACTGACAACGAAAAAGTCTAACGCCACCACTGCTTGGGAGAAAGAAACAATGTGATATTTGGGCCCATTTTCGCTACAATGAGGCGGAGAAACAAAGCGAATGCATTGTTTTATCAGAAGGGAAGCCATGTGGCCATAACACAGCTGGTAAACACACCACAAACCTGACCACTCTCTGCAAAGCTGCTCTCTTAATCATTCAACCTGTGTTTTTCATCAAATGAGGACAAGAAATCATCTTATTGTGAAATAAGTTTGACTAAAATGACATATTATTGGTTTTGGCTAGACTAGTTTGACTGAAATGTTCTATATAATCTGATGACTAAAAAAGACTCAACCGTTTTCTTTGACTAAAATAAGACTAAAATGCTCAGACTTTTAGTCGACTAAAACTTGACTAAATAAAAACAGGATGAAGGTGACTAAATATGACTAAAACTAAAAAGGAAATTTAACACAGGACTAAGACTAAAACTATTTAAAAAAATAGCTGACGAAATCAACACTAGTGTAGACAAAGGTCTGCTTAGAAAGTTAACATTAATTAATTATATTTGTATCCATAGAGCACAAACTGAATTAACCTGTTAGTGTGCTAAATAGCTAGCTATCCAACATTAGCTATCTATCTAATGTTAGCTTTTAATCTAAGAAGCTAGCTAGCTATCGGCCATTTGGTAGTTCTAAAAACTAAACATTGTTGACATGTTATTGTGTGTTATTATTTTATTGTCCAAACACATATATTATTTGGATAAACTAATACATATTGGCTACCTTTAATTTATTATTGTTCTCATCTGACGATAATAAATACCGATAAATAAAACTTAAAAACGGCAAGTAAAGGTTGATAAAGATGGCGATGCTAATCCCAGTAATCACACTTTAGCTTTAAAACGGGAGATAGCAAAAAAAAATGCATTTCTGAATCGTCCTATTTCAGAATAAGGTGAATTATCTCGTTTAAACTTCGCTCACCCTGCGTTTCCGTGGTGCCGGCTCGTCGAACAGCACCGTCTCCCGCTCCATGTCCAGACCCTCGTCAGGGGGCGGGGCCTGGCCGGCGTCGGGCTCTGTGATTGGAGGAGAGGGTGTCGGGCTGCCATTGGTCAGGCCGACGCTCCAGTATCCGCTGCTGCTGTCGGAGAGATCTCCGCCACAGTCCATCTGAAGAGCTGAGGTACACAGAACATATACACATATTAAACATGAAGAATATTCAACGACTGAAGATTTAACATTAACCCCAACACTATGTGGCTAATGCTAATGCTAACTCGACAAACAAAGCTACTACCCCATCACTACTACTGTAACTAAGGTAACTCTTGTATTTACCTACCTGGGTCAATCATAACCACAGTATTATTTTTAATTTCTTTAAAAATAAATTCAATTTTCTTCCAGTTTTTCCCAAATGTTTCCAATTTCTTTCAATTTTTCTTTCAATGTTTTTGTCAATATTTCTGTTGTTCTGTTTTTGTTCCTGAGGCCTGTACTACGAAGCCGGATGTTCTCTTAGCGGCTAACTTCAGGGAAATCTCGGGCTTTCCGGTCCTACGACGCTGGTTCTCTTTTTAGCGGGCTAGATCTCCATGGTAACTGATGCTGAGCAGCAAACCTGCTCCGGAGCAGGTTAGGTGGCAGGCTAAGAGATCAACTCAGTGAAAGCACCGCCTGCTGACCAATCAGAGCTCCGTGTGCGGAGTTTAAAGCTATCAAGTCATATTACAGGATAGAGGAAATACAGAAAAACTGTCGTTGCAGGAAAGACGGCCGGCAAAAATCAACTGACTGTGTGAACGTGAACATTAATAGAATATCCCCTCCCATCTTCAGAGCAATCTGACTATTATAACATTAGCGTTAAGAAAGCTTACTTAAATATCTGCCACGACATAAGTAACCGGATCAGAGTAACATTACGTACAGTCCGCGGCACTGTGAGTGCAGACGTAGATGTGTCCCATTATCATTCATATCATATCACATCATAATGTATCATATATTTCCTTATCTGAGTCAGCTGAGCCGTATCTGGCCGTGCAACACTCACAGTGTCACATACTGTATGCAGAAGTATTATTTTAAGCAACACATTAAGTTGAGGAAACACTCGAGTCAAATGTAATTAAAGTCAGATCGTGTCTTAGACGGGGCAGTGATATCATAAACCTGTTAATGTACGCATTCAAACACTTTCTCTGTTACCAGCTGTATTCACCTTGCAGGTGCAGCTATGTGGCTTTTATCCTGGATAAAGTGTTTAAGTCATGGATGTTTAAAGTTTAACTTCTTCATATTTGACTAATATTAAAGTTCACTTTTCATTCAGGAAGTATGACGCTGCGCTGTCAGTACGCTTGTCCATGTTTGTGATTGGTCGAATGCTCCAAATACCACCCCTTTCATGTGAACGCGCACCTAACTAGATAGGACACGGCTGGCTTGAGCGATCCACTTGATAACCAGCGTCGTAGTACAGCTTAGCGAGAGCGCGTATGTTTTGGATTGGGCCAACCGGCTAACTCCAACATATCCAGGTTAGGTTGAACCAGCTTCGTAGTACAGGCCTCTGTAGTTGTCTGTTGTTTGTTGTTGTTTGTTGTTTGTTATTGGTGTTTGTTATTGTTGTTGTTGTTGTTGCAGTACCTTCAGGCTCGGGGGGGCTGTTCATGCTGCAGGACAGGCTGCTGAGCACCATCGCTGCCATCAGCTCATCAACGTCCACCTGCTCCGGACTCCTCTGACTGAAGACAGTCAACGATATTTATCAGTCAACTTTAAAGGTCCCCTACTATCCTGTTTCTCATCAATATATCACAGGTCTCAGATATCTGCAGAGCCTGTCTCTGATTGGCTGAAACACCAAACAGATCATTGCAGCATTACCCATAATCCCCTCTGTTTCAGCCCTGTTTCCAAAGTGCTGATTCTCTGTCTGTTACTTTAGATGAAAATAAGGAGCCCCTCCCCACGCCCCTCTGAGAGAGATTTGGTTACAAAGAACTCAATGGTGCTCTAGGAGGAGATTCAGGTGATAAGGGGGGGGGGGGGGGGGTTACCTTGGTTGGTGATTGGCTAATGGTTACACAAGACAAAACATCGTTATGACATCATCAAGTGGCCAAAATCTGATCAGCTCATTTTCAGACAGGTTTTTATAGAAATGGATCAAAAAGAGAGAGAATCTTTGTTCCTGAAACTTTCAGAGTCTCTTTCCACAGAGGGGACACATGTTGATGAAGAAGAGACATGAAGAAGAGGGGACACATGTTGATGTAGAAGAGACATGAAGAAGAGGGGACACATGTTGATGGAGAAGAGACATGAAGAAGAGGGGACACATGTTGATGTAGAAGAGACATGAAGAAGAGGGGACACATGTTGATGTAGAAGAGATATGAAGAAGAGGGGACACATGTTGATGTAGAAGAGACATGAAGAAGAGGGGACACATGTTGATGTAGAAGAGACATGAAGAAGAGGGGACACATGTTGATGAAGAAGAGACATGAAGAAGAGGGGACACATGTTGATGAAGAAGAGACATGAAGAAGAGGGGACACATGTTGATGAAGAAGAGACATGAAGAAGAGGGGACACATGTTGATGAAGAAGAGACATGAAGAAGAGGGGACACATGTTGATGTAGAAGAGACATGAAGAAGAGGGGACACATGTTGATGTAGAAGAGACATGAAGAAGAGGGGACACATGTTGATGTAAGAAAGAGACATGAAGAAGAGGGGACACATGTTGATGAAGAAGAGACATGAAGAAGAGGGGACACATGTTGATGAAGAAGAGACATGAAGAAGAGGGGACACATGTTGATGTAGAAGAGGGGACACATGTTGATGAAGAAGAGACATGAAGAAGAGGGGACACATGTTGATGTAGAAGAGACATGAAGAAGAGGGGACACATGTTGATGAAGAAGAGGGGACACATGTTGATGAAGAAGAGACATGAAGAAGAGGGGGACCACATGTTGATGTAGAAGAGACATGAAGAAGAGGGGACACATGTTGATGAAGAAGAGGGGACACATGTTGATGAAGAAGAGACATGAAGAAGAGGGGACACATGTTGATGTAGAAGAGACATGAAGAAGAGGGGACACATGTTGATGTAGAAGAGACATGAAGAAGAGGGGACACATGTTGATGTAGAAGAGACATGAAGAAGAGGGGACACATGTTGATGAAGAAGAGGGGACACATGTTGATGAAGAAGAGACATGAAGAAGAGGGGACACATGTTGATGAAGAAGAGGGGACACATGTTGATGAAGAAGAGACATGAAGAAGAGGGGACACATGTTGATGAAGAAGAGACATGAAGAAGAGGGGACACATGTTGATGAAGAAGAGACATGAAGAAGAGGGGACACATGGTGGATGAAGAAGAGACATGAGAAGAGGGGACACATGTTGATGAAGAAGAGACATGAAGAAGAGGGGACACATGTGATGAAGAAGAGACATGAAGAAGAGGGGACACATGTTGATGAAGAAGAGACATGAAGAAGAGGGGGACACATGTTGATGAAGAAGAGACATGAAGAAGAGGGGACACATGTTGATGAAGAAGAGACATGAAGAAGAGGGGACACATGTTGATGAAGAAGAGACATGAAGAAGAGGGGACACATGTTGATGAAGAAGAGACATGAAGAAGAGGGGACACATGGTGATGTAGAAGAGACATGAAGAAGAGGGGACACATGTTGATGAAGAAGAGACATGAAGAAGAGGGGACACATGTTGATGAAGAAGAGACATGAAGAAGAGGGGACACATGTTGATGAAGAAGAGACATGAAGAAGAGGGGACACATGTTGATGTAGAAGAGGGGACACATGTTGATGAAGAAGAGACATGAAGAAGAGGGGACACATGTTGATGTAGAAGAGACATGAAGAAGAGGGGACACATGTTGATGAAGAAGAGGGGACACATGTTGATGAAGAAGAGACATGAAGAAGAGGGGACACATGTTGATGTAGAAGAGGGGACACATGTTGATGAAGAAGAGACATGAAGAAGAGGGGACACATGTTGATGTAGAAGAGACATGAAGAAGAGGGGACACATGTTGATGAAGAAGAGGGGACACATGTTGATGAAGAAGAGACATGAAGAAGAGGGGACACATGTTGATGTAGAAGAGACATGAAGAAGAGGGGACACATGTTGATGAAGAAGAGGGGACACATGTTGATGAAGAAGAGACATGAAGAAGAGGGGACACATGTTGATTGTAGAAGAGACATGAAGAAGAGGGGACACATGTTGATGTAGAAGAGACATGAAGAAGAGGGGACACATGTTGATGTAGAAGAGACATGAAGAGAGGGGACACATGTTTGATGAAGAAGAGGGGACACATGTTGATGAAGAAGAGACATGAAGAAGAGGGGACACATGTTGATGAAGAAGAGGGGACACATGTTGATGAAGAAGAGACATGAAGAAGAGGGGACACATGTTGATGAAGAAGAGACATGAAGAAGAGGGGACACATGTTGATGAAGAAGAGACATGAGAAGAGTAGGGGACACATGGTGATGAAGAAGAGACATGAAGAAGAGGGGACACATGTTGATGAAGAAGAGACATGAAGAAGAGGGGACACATGTTGATGAAGAAGAGACATGAAGAAGATGGGACACATGTTGATGAAGAAGAGACATGAAGAAGAGGGGACACATGTTGATGAAGAGAGACATGAAGAAGAGGGGACACATGTTGATGAAGAAGAGACATGAAGAAGAGGGGACACATGTTGATGAAGAAGAGACATGAAGAAGAGGGGACACATGTTGATGAAGAAGAGACATGAAGAAGAGGGGACACATGGTTGATGTAGAAGAGACATGAAGAAGAGGGGACACATGTTGATGTAGAAGAGACATGAAGAAGAGGGGACACATGTTGATGAAGAAGAGACATGAAGAAGAGGGGACACATGTTGATGAAGAAGAGACATGAAGAAGAGGGGACACATGTTGATGAAGAAGAGACATGAAGAAGAGGGGACACATGTTGATGTAGAAGAGACATGAAGAAGAGGGGACACATGTTGATGTAGAAGAGACATGAAGAAGAGGGGACACATGTTGATGTAGAAGAGACATGAAGAAGAGGGGACACATGTTGATGTAGAAGAGACATGAAGAAGAGGGGACACATGTTGATGTAGAAGAGACATGAAGAAGAGGGGACACATGTTGATGTAGAAGAGACATGAAGAAGAAGAGGGGACACATGTTGATGAAGAAGAGACATGAAGAAGAGGGGACACATGTTGATGAAGAAGAGACATGAAGAAGAGGGGACACATGTTGATGAAGAAGAGACATGAAGAAGAGGGGACACATGTTGATGAAGAAGAGACATGAAGAAGAGGGGACACATGTTGATGAAGAAGAGACATGAAGAAGAGGGGACACATGTGATGAGAGAATAGGGGACACATGGTGATAGGAGAAGAGCCATGAAGAAGAGGGGACACATGTTTGATGAAGAAGAGACATGAAGAGAGGGGGACACATGTTGATGAAGAAGAGACAGGAAGAAGAGGGACACATGTTGATGAAGAAGAGACATGAAGAAGAGGGGACACATGTTGATGAGAAGAGACATAAGAAGAGGGGACACATGTTGATGAAGAAGAGACATGAAGAAGAGGGGACACATGTTGATGAAGAAGAGACATGAAGAAGAGGGGACACATGTTGATGTAAGAAGAGACATGAAGAAGAGGGACACATGTTGATGAAGAAGAGACATGAAGAAGAGGGGACACATGTTGATGTAGAAGAGACATGAAGAAGAGGGGACACATGTTGATGAAGAAGAGACATGAAGAGAGGGGACACATGTTAGTGAAGAAGAGGGGACACATGTTGATGAAGAAGAGACATGAAGAAGAGGGGACACATGTTGATGAAGAAGAGACATGAAGAAGAGGGGACACATGTTGTATGAAGAAGAGACATGAAGAAGAGGGGACAACATGTTGATGAGAAGAGACATGAAGAAGAGGGGACACATGTTGATGAAGAAGAGACATGAAGAAGAGGGGACACATGTTGATGAAGAAGAGACATGAAGAAGAGGGGACACATGTTGATGAAGAAGAGACATGAAGAAGAGGGGACACATGTTGATGAAGAAGAGACATGAAGAAGAGGGGACACATGTTGATGAAGAAGAGACATGAAGAAGAGGGGACACATGTTGATGTAGAAGAGACATGAAGAAGAGGGGACACATGTTGATGTAGAAGAGACATGAAGAAGAGGGGACACATGTTGATGTAGAAGAGACATGAAGAAGAGGGGACACATGTTGATGTAGAAGAGACATGAAGAAGAGGGGACACATGTTGATGTAGAAGAGACATGAAGAAGAGGGGACACATGTTGATGTAGAAGAGACATGAAGAAGGGGCCACAGTTGATGAAGAAGAGACATGAAGAAGAGGGGACACATGTGTGATGAAGAAGAGACATGAAGAAGAGGGGACACATGTTGATGAAGAAGAGACATGAAGAAGAGGGGACACATGTTGATGTAGAAAGAGGGGACACATGTTGATGAAGAAGAGACATGAAGAAGAGTGGACACATGTTGATGTAGAAGAGACATGAAGAAGAGGGGACACATGTTGATGAAGAAGAGGGGACACATGTTGATGAAGAAGAAGAGAATGAAGAAGAGGGGACACATGTTGATGTAGAAGAGACATGAAGAAGAGGGGACACATGTTGATGAAAAGAAGAGGGGACACATGTTGATGAAGAAGAGACATGAAGAAGAGGGGACACATGTTGATGTAGAAGAGACATGAAGAAGAGGGGACACATGTTGATGTAGAAGAGACATGAAGAAGAGGGGGGACACATGTTGATGTAGAAGAGACATGAAGAAGAGGGGACACATGTTGATGTAGAAGAGACATGAAGAAGAGGGGACACATGTTGATGAAGAAGAGGGGACACATGTTGATGAAGAAGAGGGGACAAAATGTTGATGAAGAAGAGGGACACATGAGAAGAGAGACATTGAAGAAGATGGGGGACACATTGTTGATGAAGAAGAGACATGAAGAAGAGGGGACACATGTTGATGAAGAAGAGACATGAAGAAGAGGGGACACATGTTGATGAAGAAGAGACATGAAGAAGAGGGGACACATGTTGATGAAGAAGAGACATGAAGAAGAGGGGACCCATGTTGATGAAGAAGAGACATGAAGAAGAGGGGACACATGTTGATGAAGAAGAGACATGAAGAAGAGGGGGACACATGTTGATGAAGAAGAGACATGAAGAAGAGGGGACAGATGTGATGAAGAAGAGACATGAAGAAGAGGGGACACATGTTGATGAAGAAGAGACATGAAGAAGAGGGGACACATGGTGATGTAGAAGAGACATGAAGAAGAGGGGACACATGTTGATGAAGAAGAGACATTGAAGAGAGAGGGGACACATGTTGATGAAGAAGAGACATGAAGAAGAGGGGACACATGGTGATGTAGAAGAGACATGAAGAAGAGGGGACACATGTTGATGAAGAAGAGACATGAAGAAGAGGGGACACATGTTGATGAAGAAGAGACATGAAGAAGAGGGGACACATGTTGATGAAGAAGAGACATGAAGAAGAGGGGACACATGTTGATGAAGAAGAGACATGAAGAAGAGGGGACACATGTTGATGAAGAAGAGACATGAGTCCCCTCTTGATGAAGAAGAGACATGAAGAAGAGGGACACATGGTGATGTAGAAGAGACATGAAGAAGAGGGGACACATGTTGATGAAGAAGAGACATGAAGAAGAGGGGACACATGTTGATGAAGAAGAGACCATGAAGAAGAGGGGGACACATGTTGATGAAGAAGAGACATGAAGAAGAGGGGACACATGTTGATGAAGAAGAGACATGAAGAAGAGGGGACACATGTTGATGTAGAAGAGACATGAAGAAGAGGAGACACAGTTGATGTAGAAGAGACATGAAGAAGAGGGGACACATGTTGATGTAGAAGAGACATGAAGAAGAGGGGACACATGTTGAGTAGAAGAGACATGAAGAAGAGGGGACACATGTTGATGTAGAAGAGAGATGAAGAAGAGGGGACACATGTGATGTAGAAGAGACATGAAGAAGAGGGGACACATGTTGATGAAGAAGAGACATGAAGAAGAGGGGACACATGTTGATGAAGAAGAGACATGAAGAAGAGGGGACACATGTTGATGAAGAAGAGACATGAAGAAGAGGGGACAACTGTTGCTGAAGAAGAGACATGAAGAAGAGGGGACACATGTTGATGATAAGAGACATAAAAGAAGAGGGGACACATGTTGATGAGAAGAGACATGAAGAAGAGGGGACACATGTTGATGAAGAAGAGACATGAAGAAGAGGGGACACATGTTGATGAAGAAGAGACATGAAGAAGAGGGGACCATGTTGATGAAGAAGAGACATGAAGAGAAGAGGGGACACATGTTGATTGAAGAAGAGACATGAAGAAGAGGGGACACATGTTGATGAAGAAGAGACATGAAGAAGAGGGGACACATGTTGATGAAGAAGAGACATGAAGAAGAGGGGACACATGTTGATGAAGAAGAGACATGAAGAAGAGGGGACACATGTGATGAAGAAGAGACATGAAGAAGAGGGGACACATGTTGATGAGAAGAAGAGACATGAAGAAGAGGGGACACATGTTGATGAAGAAGAGACATGAAGAAGAGGGGACACATGTTGATGAAGAAGAGACATGAAGAAGAGGGGACACATGTTGATGAAGAGAGCAGGAAGGACACATGTTGATGAAGAAGAGACATGAAGAAGAGGGGACACATGTTGATGAAGAAGAGACATGAAGAAGAGGGGACACCCATTTTTGATGAGAAGAGGACATGAAGAAGAGGGGACACATGTTGGATGTAGAAGAGACATGAAGAAGAGGGGACACATGTTGATGAAGAAGAGACATGAAGAAGAAGGGGACACATGTTGATGAAGAAGAGACATGAAGAAGAGGGGACACATGTTTGATGAAGAAGAGACATGAAGAAGAGGGGGACACATGTTGAGAAGAAGAGACATGAAGAAGAGGGGACACATGTTGATGAAGAAGAGACATGAAGAAGAGGGGACACATGTTGATGTAAGAAGAGACATGAAGAAGAGGGGACACATGTTGATGTAGAAGAGGACATGAAGAAGAGGGGACACATGTTGATGTAGAAGAGACATGAAGAAGAGGGGACACATGTTGATGTAGAAGAGACATGAAGAAGAGGGGACACATGTTGATGTAGAAGAGACATGAAGAAGAGGGGACACATGTTGATGTAGAAGAGACATGAAGAAGAGGGGACACATGTTGATGAAGAAGAGACATGAGAAGAGGGGACACATGTTGATGAAGAAGAGACATGAAGAAGAGGGGACACATGTTGATGAAGAAGAGACATGAAGAAGAGGGGACACATGTTGATGTAGAAGAGGGGACACATGTTGATGAAGAAGAGACATGAAGAAGAGGGGACACATGTTGATGTAGAAGAGACATGAAGAAGAGGGACACATGTTGATGAAGAAGAGGGGACACATGTTGATGAAGAAGAGACATGAAGAAGAGGGGACACATGTTGATGTAGAAGAGACATGAAGAAGAGGGGACACATGTTGATGAAGAAGAGGGGACCACATGTTGATGAAGAAGAGACATGAAGAAGAGGGGACACATGTTGATGTAGAAGAGACATGAAGAAGAGGGGACACATGTTGATGTAGAAGAGACATGAAGAAGAGGGGACACATGTTGATGTAGAAGAGACATGAAGAAGAGGGGACACATGTTGATGTAGAAGAGACATGAAGAAGAGGGGACACATGTTGATGTAGAAGAGACATGAAGAAGAGGGGACACATGTTGATGAAGAAGAGGGGACACATGTTGATGAAGAAGAGACATGAAGAAGAGGGGACACATGTTGATGGAAGAAGAGGGGGACACATGTTGATGAAGAAGAGACATGAAGAAGAGGGGACACAGTTGATGAAGAAGAGACATGAAGAAGAGGGGGACACATGTTGATGAAGAAGAGACATGAAGAAGAGGGACACATGTTGATGAAGAAGAGAGACATGAAGAAGAGGGGACACATGTTGATGAAGAAGAGACATGAAGAAGAGGGACACATGTTGATGAAGAAGAGACATGAGAAGAGGGGGACACATGTTGATGAAGAAGAGACATGAAGAAGAGGGGACACATGTTGATGAAGAAGAGACATGAAGAAGAGGGGACACATGTTGATGAAGAAGAGACATGAAGAAGAGGGGACACATGTTGATGAAGAAGAGACATGAAGAAGGGGGACACATGGTTGATGTAGAAGAGACATGAAGAAGAGGGGACACATGTTGATGAAGAAGAGACATGAAGAAGAGGGGACACATGTGATGTGAAGAAGAGACATGAAGAAGAGGGGACACATGGTTGACTGTATGAAGAGACATGAAGAAGCAGGGGGACACATGTTTGACTGTAGCAGAGACATGAAGAAGAGGGGACACATGTTTGATTGTAAGGAGACCACTGAAAGAAGAGGGGACCACATGTTGATGAAGTAGCGAGACATGAAGAAGAGGGGACACATGATTGATCGTAGAAGAGGACCGGATAAAGAGGGGCCACATGTGATGAAGAAGAGAACATGAAGAAGAGGGGACACATGTTGATGACAGAAGAGGACATGAAGAAGAGGGGGACACATGTTGATGAAGAAGAGACATGAGAGAGGGGCAACACATGTTGATGTGAAGAGACAATGAAGAAGAGGGACATGTGATAGAAGAGACATGAAGATGATGGGGACACATGTTTGATGAAGAAGAGGACATGAAGACGAGGGGGGACACATGTTGATGTAGAAGAGACATGCAAGAAGAGGGACGTACCGGGGACACAGTGTTTGATGGTAGAAGAGACATGAAGAAGAGGGGACACATGTTGATGAAGAAGAGACATGAAGAAGAGGGGACACATGTTGATGTAGAAGAGACATGAAGAAGAGGGGACACATGTTGATGAAGAAGGAGACATGAAGAAGAGGGGACACATGTTGATGAAGAAGAGACATGAAGAAGAGGGGACACATGTTGATGAAGAAGAGACATGAAGAAGAGGGGACACATGTTGATGAAGAAGAGACATGAAGAAGAAGGTTTTGCAGAATAGGTCCCCTTTAAGGAATAAACAAACAACAGACCTTCTGGGAACGTCGATGCACGAGGAGACGGATCTTCTGCAGGACGGAGGAACTGAAGAGGGATGAGAAGAGACTTCATTCTGCAGGAAGTCCAGAGGATCCACACCTGAGAAGGACTCCCCTCCCCCACACTGGAAATACACCTGAGAGACAAACAACAACAACAACAACACATGACTTTCTGTTTGGCCAGGATGAAAGAAGCATCAGCTGTGTTGATGCTCAGCCTCTGATCTGTCTGAAGGGGCCTTCAGAGAAACCTCTACACATTCACAGTGTTTCTCGATGTCTCTCAAGGTTCCAGAAAGCTCTGTAATCTCACCTTGAGCCCTGGGTGACCTTTGACCCTGCCGACGGCCGGGTGCTCTGTTGCCACGGTGACGCCGGGGTCACCTGTGATGCAGGTGGCGTTCAAGAGCGCTCCGAGAGGAGAGCGCTTGCCCAGACGAGTCGTAGGTAACATGTCTGAATCTGAAACACAGAAAGAAGAGGAGTTTAAATGTCATAAATGTACAAGAATATAGAATTAAACTTACATTTTTAGACCTTTAATGCAAACTGGAAATATACCTCCGCAAAAAAGGTGGAGTTTTTTTTTATAAACAAAGTTATTATTATTATAAAATTCCCTCCCGGCGAACAAATAAAAAAGTAGCAAATTCATGAAGGAGAACTACAAAAGTCCTCTATTTACATGAGTCCTGCCTACAATACCCATAATGCAACAGAGGACCAGCCAACATTTATTGGTATTGCATTTTAACAATGGCCTTTTTCTTTCATTTCATCCATGAAATTAAATGTGTGTGTGTGTGTGTGCGTGTGTGTGTGTGTGTGTGTGTGTGTGTGTGTGTGTGTGTGTGTGTGTGTGTGTGTGTGTGTGTGTGTGTGCGCAACAGATGGTTAGTGAATGTCTCTGTTAACGCCTATAATTATAACAACAACATATTTGTTTCTAAACTGTGTCACTGCTGCAACACGGTGAAACACACACACACACACACACACACACACACACACACACACACACACACACACACACACACACACACACACACACACACACACACACACACACACACACACACACACACACACACACACACACACACCCCTTCCTGTTAACCAGTGACTCAGAGTGACTGAAATCATTTGACTCATCCAGTCCTGACCTCGAGAAGAAAGCAGCTGTTTCAGTTTGAAGTCTAATGTAAAACTAAACTAATAAGAATATTTGTTTCAGTTTTAACCAGTTATTTTTTTGTCAATAAGATTATTTGTCTCCTTATTTTTTTTGTAAATGCAACTTTTCTCAATTTATTGGGACACGTTTGTTAAAATAATAAAACATTTAATGTATTTTTTCTGACTTTATGCAACTTTTATGGTGAATCGACACTACATACTGACTAATTATTATTTCCATTAGGGACATTTTTAAATGTGAAAAGATATTGACTTACAAATAAAAATGACATTAATCTAGGGACCTTTTTGGAGGACCGCCACCCTCAGGTTGAGCACCGCTGGATTAGAAAACACACTCTTTTGATGAAATGAAGCTGAATGCTTTTACTATCCTAATCTAATTAATTAATTATTTGAAATGCTTAAGTACAACTTAATAACTTTTACTTGTGTATTATTAGCAGCGGTGGACTGTTACTACTTTTACTGTACAATCATTTAATTAGTTAGATTTTAAAGAACTTTTAAATATGATGTTTTTCTGTAAATCAAACTATCTTTAAAAAAAATTATGTTTCATATTTTGTATTTCCAACAGTCATTCCAGATAACAAAAATAGACTGTCACTAAAAGTTATATTATATTTTCATAATCAGGTAGACTTGGTTCACCGTGAATTCATTGCTGTGTAAAAACACTCTGATATTTGATCATTTTCATTAAATTATTTAGATTTAATAATTTTCTCCAAGGACTACCTTTCCTCTCCAGACCTTCAAATACATTTGCAGTCTTTCTGCTACGTTTGACTTATTTTAATGAGTTTGTTAAATATCTTTCTGCAAAACACTGACTTTATAAAATATCTAAAATCATCCGTCTGTCTTTCATCTGTTGTTGTTCAAATGTGCATCATGTGCACGTGTCAATATATCACATGCACAGTGTTTTAAATACAATTTATAATATATTTGTATAGTATATTTAAATATCACATGCATTTATATTTTTTTAGCATAAAAAACATCAAGTTTGAGTCATTTATTTAAATTAAACTCTAAAGATGATTGCGTCTAACTCTGTGCATACTTTAGTTTGTCTGAATAACCGAAGAGAGTTCAGATTAAACACAAACACACACATGTTAAACACATGTAAGCATGCATGCACATTTACAGTTCACACACCCCTCTGTGTGTGCAGCTCAGCCAATCAGAGGCGAGCTCACACCTCCACAATAAGAGTCCTCTGAGCAAAACAACTCGCCACAAAATCCAAAGCATTTCTGAGACATTTAAAAATCCAAAATGTCAAAACTCATCACGAAATCTGGATTATTTTGTAACGCAAACTCTTTACAAGACGTTTATCCAGAAAAACAACACAATACAAGTCAGGTTACACGCAGAGAAAACATCAAATCCACAGTTTTTACTACAGAAAAAACGTCAAATCCACAGTTTTGACTGCAGAGAAACCTCAACATGATGTAGTGACAGTATGTAGAAAGAGAGCAGCTGCAGACACAGAGCTCTTTGTGAACTTCAGATCTGTAAATGCAGGACAACACGAGGCAGCGTGCACACACAGAGGAAGATTACAGATACATTAAAGCATGCATGAGCTGTCACCTACCTGCAGAATCACAACAACAGCAACAACAACAACAACGACAACAACAGACTTCAGGCAGAGGCCACTGCTTCCATGTGAGAGTGTGTGAGAGTGTGTGAGCGCGTGTTCATGCTGCAGTCTCAACAGCTTCAGAGGAGAGTCAGAAACCCTGATCTGGATCCCTGGAGGAGGAGTGTGTCCTCGTGGAGGTTCAGGAGTGTGTCCTCGTGGAGGCTAAAGGTACGTATGATCCCAGGATGAGACATTATACATAGCCAGAGAAAGGATGAATACAAATAAATAAAATAAATAAAATAAATAAAATAAATAAAATAAATAAAATAAATAAAATAAATAAAATAAATAAAATAAATAAAATAAATAAAATAAATAAAATAAATAAAATAAATAAAATAAATAAAATAAATAAAATAAATAATGCAGTATTTAAATGAAGGCACTATCAACAACATCATTTTTCACCAAACGTATCAAATGTCCAGTTCCTCATAGAATCAGAATCAGAAACGGGTTTATCGCCAGGTGGGTTCACACGTACGAGGAATTTGACTTGCAAGCAGTCAATTACAGCGAAATAGAATGCAGTGAATTATAGAATATAAACTATGAAATATGTGCAGTAAGCAATATGAACATTGTGTGCATTGATGTGATGCATAGAGAGACTACGTTGTGGCTGAGGTAAAGTGTCAGTGGGGGGGGGCCGGGCCTGGTTTAAGAGGGGGTAGCGGAGGGCAAGAAACTGTTCAGGTGGAGAGAGGTCCTGGTCCTGATGGAGCGCAGCCTCCTGCCAGAGGGGAGGGGGGTTTGGGTCCAGCGTGGGAGGGGTCGGCCACTATCTTCCCTGCCCGCCTCAGGGTCCTGGAGGCGGGCAGGTCGTGGAGGGATTGGCAGATTGCAGACGATCACCCTCTCTGCAGAGCGGATGACCCGCTGCCAGATGGTGATGGAGGAGGGGAGGATGGACTCCATGATGGAGGTGTAGAAGGTCACCATCATCGTCTTTGACATACTGATATACACCTGAACATCAGCTGGAGAGGACTCTTTAAAGTAGAGACACTACATACTGATATACACCTGAACATCAGCTGGAGAGGACTCTTTAAAGTAGAGACACTACATACTGATATACACCTGAACATCAGCTGGAGAGGACTCTTTAAAGTAGAGACACTACATACTGATATACACCTGAACATCAGCAGGAGAGGACTCTTTAAAGTAGAGACACTACATACTGATATACACCTGAATATCAGCTGGAGAGGACTCTTTAAAGTAGAGACACTACATACTGATATACACCTGAACATCAGCAGGAGAGGACTCTTTAAAGTAGAGACACTACATACTGATATACACCTGAACATCAGCAGGAGAGGACTCTTTAAAGTAGAGACACTACATACTGATATACACCTGAACATCAGCAGGAGAGGACTCTTTAAAGTAGAGACACTACATACTGATATACACCTGAACATCAGCAGGAGAGGACTCTTTAAAGTAGAGACACTACATACTGATATACACCTGAACATCAGCAGGAGAGAACTCTTTAAAGTAGAGACACTACATACTGATATACACCTGAACATCAGCAGGAGAGGACTCTTTAAAGTAGAGACACTACATACTGATATACACCTGAACATCAGCAGGAGAGGACTCTTTAAAGCAGAGACACTACATACTGATATACACCTGAACATCAGCAGGAGAGGACATCTTTAAAGCAGAGACACTACATACTGATATACACCTGAACATCAGCAGGAGAGGACTCTTTAAAGTAGAGACACTACATACTGATATACACCTGAACATCAGCAGGAGAGGACTCTTTAAAGTAGAGACACTACATACTGATATACACCTGAACATCAGCAGGAGAGGACTCTTTAAAGTAGAGACACTACATACTGATATAAACCTGAACATCAGCAGGAGAGGACTCTTTAAAGTAGAGACACTACATACTGATATACACCTGAACATCAGCAGGAGAGGACTCTTTAAAGTAGAGACACTACATACTGATATACACCTGAACATCAGCTGGAGAGGACTCTTTAAAGTAGAGACACTACATACTGATATACACCTGAACATCAGCAGGAGAGGACTCTTTAAAGTAGAGACACTACATACTGATATACACCTGAACATCAGCAGGAGAGGACTCTTTAAAGTAGAGACACTACATACTGATATACACCTGAACATCAGCAGGAGAGGACTCTTTAAAGTAGAGACACTACATACTGATATACACCTGAACATCAGCAGGAGAGGACTCTTTAAAGTAGAGACACTACATACTGATATACACCTGAACATCAGCAGGAGAGGACTCTTTAAAGTAGAGACACTACATACTGATATACACCTGAACATCAGCAGGAGGGGACTCTTTAAAGTAGAGACACTACATACTGATATACACCTGAACATCAGCAGGAGAGAACTCTTTAAAGTAGAGACACTACATACTGATATACACCTGAACATCAGCAGGAGAGGACTCTTTAAAGTAGAGACACTACATACTGATATACACCTGAACATCAGCAGGAGAGGACTCTTTAAAGTAGAGACACTACATACTGATATACACCTGAACATCAGCAGGAGAGGACTCTTTAAAGTAGAGACACTACATACTGATATACACCTGATCATCAGCAGGAGAGGACTCTTTAAAGTAGAGACACTACATACTGATATACACCTGAACATCAGCAGGAGAGGACTCTTTAAAGTAGAGACACTACATACTGATATACACCTGAACATCAGCAGGAGAGGACTCTTTAAAGTAGAGACACTACATACTGATATACACCTGAACATCAGCAGGAGAGGACTCTTTAAAGTAGAGACACTACATACTGATATACACCTGAACATCAGCAGGAGAGGACTCTTTAAAGTAGAGACACTACATACTGATATACACCTGAACATCAGCAGGAGAGGACTCTTTAAAGTAGAGACACTACATACTGATATACACCTGAACATCAGCAGGAGAGGACTCTTTAAAGTAGAGACACTACATACTGATATACACCTGAACATCAGCAGGAGAGGACTCTTTAAAGTAGAGACACTACATACTGATATACACCTGAACATCAGCAGGAGAGGACTCTTTAAAGCAGAGACACTACATACTGATATACACCTGAACATCAGCAGGAGAGGACTCTTTAAAGCAGAGACACTACATACTGATATACACCTGAACATCAGCAGGAGAGGACTCTTTAAAGTAGAGACACTACATACTGATATACACCTGAACATCAGCAGGAGACGACTCTTTAAAGTAGAGACACTACATACTGATATACACCTGAACATCAGCAGGAGAGGACTCTTTAAAGCAGAGACACTACATACTGATATACACCTGAACATCAGCAGGAGAGGACTCTTTAAAGTAGAGACACTACATACTGATATACACCTGAACATCAGCAGGAGAGGACTCTTTAAAGTAGAGACACTACATACTGATATACACCTGAACATCAGCAGGAGAGGACTCTTTAAAGTAGAGACACTACATACTGATATACACCTGAACAGCAGCAGGAGAGGACTCTTTAAAGCAGAGACACTACATACTGATATACACCTGAACATCAGCAGGAGAGGACTCTTTAAAGTAGAGACGCTACATACTGATATACACCTGAACATCAGCAGGAGAGGACTCTTTAAAGTAGAGACGCTACATACTGATATACACCTGAACATCAGCAGGAGAGGACTCTTTAAAGTAGAGACACTACATACTGATATACACCTGAACATCAGCAGGAGAGGACTCTTTAAAGTAGAGACACTACAAACTGATATACACCTGAACATCAGCAGGAGAGGACTCTTTAAAGTAGAGACACTACATACTGATATACACCTGAACATCAGCAGGAGAGGACTCTTTAAAGTAGAGACACTACATACTGATATACACCTGAACATCAGCAGGAGAGGACTCTTTAAAGTAGAGACGCTACATACTGATATACACCTGAACATCAACAGGAGAGGACTCTTTAAAGTAGAGACACTACAAACTGATATACACCTGAACATCAGCAGGAGAGGACTCTTTAAAGTAGAGACACTACATACTGATATACACCTGAACATCAGCAGGAGAGGACTCTTTAAAGTAGAGACACTACAAACTGATATACACCTGAACATCAGCAGGAGAGGACTCTTTAAAGTAGAGACACTACATACTGATATACCTGAACATCAGCAGGAGAGGACTCTTTAAAGTAGAGACACTACATACTGATATACACCTGAACATCAGCAGGAGAGGACTCTTTAAAGTAGAGACACTACATACTGATATACCTGACCATCAGCACGTTCCCTTCAGAGAGTGAGACAGGAAGTGAGTAAGGTTTCATGACTTGATGTGAAAGTGCATCATGATGACGGAAACAGGTTCAAAATGAGTTCCAGCATTTAGAAATATCTGGTGAGTCAGTGTCAGATGCTACCTAAGTGTTACTGTGTGTGTGTGTGTGTGTGTGTGTGTGTGCGTGTGTGTGTGTGTGTGTGTGTGTATGTGTGTGTGTGTGTGTGTGTGTGTGTGTGTGTGTGTGTGTGTGTGTGTGTGTGTGTGTGTGTGTGTGTGTGTGTGTGTGTGTGTGTGTGTGTGTGTGTGCGTAGATGCGGCGGACAGACAGGAATCAGTTCGTTTGGTGTCCTATGCTTACTTTTAATACTTGTAAATACAACTTTAACTAAATTAAATTGAATCAAAGTAAATATATAAGTCATCATGAACACATCTGTCCATCAGACAGAGGGCTGCTGTGCCTCCTGTCATCTTTAATGGGCGTCTCTTTAAAATGACCGCTCAGAGGAGAGGAGTTCTCATTTCTCTAACCACCTGCTGCTTCCACTCCTCTCTCCTCGACTCCACTCCTCTCTCCTCGGTTCCCCTCCTCTCTCCTCGGTTCCCCTCCTCTCTCCTCGACTCCTCTCTCCTCGGTTCCCCTCCTCTCTCCTCGGTTCCCCTCCTCTCTCCTCGGCTCCCCTCCTCGAGTCCTCCGCTCGCATCTC